TTAGGGGTGGGGTGTGAGTGTGGTGGCGTGCAACTTGAAGATGTACACAGCCGGCCTGGCTGATTAACACCCCAATGGTTTGGTAGTGAAGGAAAGTAAGGGTCGGATAGGACTTCGAGAAGGTTGAAAGCAACCGTTGTCGGACTGCCGTGGGGTTTAGTGTGCTTTTTGGCATTCCTCGTCTGTCAACAGACGTAAACTGCATTACAGTGGAGCCTTGCCAAAGAAATGCGCCTGTTAGTGATGGTTTGGCTATGATAAATAGGGATGCTGAAACCCCAAGTCCGAAGTTTATCCAGCACAGCCACTAAGAATGAGCAGTTAATAGTAGCATGGTTAGTGTTCTCCACACCTTAACAGCCCCATGGGCATTGATGCAAATCGAATAAGCCATGCAAGGCCAGCTAATCTTTAGTAGGAAGAGTGTCAAGGCGGAGCCACCACAAAATATTCTCTCCCTAGGCCGAAGTTTAAGTCTTGCGAGTCGCACATGTGAAGCCTGAAGACAACTGAATTCCACCTGATCCACATTAGCTGTAATAGTATTACCGGAGAGCTGCTTGCACAATTCAGGAGTGTCATTCGGTTGGTCCCTTAGCAAAGGGCTGTTGACAATAATCCTGCAAAGCTCCAACCCAAAATGCTGTTGGATTTTCTCAGTATTTCATGTATTATCGGTAATCAGATCTGAAACTTTGGATTGCTCATCAATTTCCATGCTAACAAAAGTGGGCCATTGATCCAACTGTCTATCCAGAATTCATTTTTGCGACAGGAAGTTAATGCGCTCCCCATTCGAAACTTTCCATTAGAAAATCTTGTTGAAGCATTTTGCACCATCCCTGAGAATGTTCCAGGCAGTGGAATCACCGAATTTTTTCTGGTCATCCATAAGATCATTACTGTAATTATGAGCCAAAAATCTGTGGAGAAGCGAATTAGTTTGGGTTAGGAAATTCCAAGCCAGCTAGTCCGTAGGATCCCTTCCAATCCTCAGCTGCATGGAAACCCAAGCCGCCAGCTTTAGTTGGTTTACTTAGAACCTGCCACGCAACATAGTGAAGCCCTCTTCTCCCATGACCCTTCCCCCATAAAAAATGGCGGGCATTCTTTTCCAGATCGGCCAAAACACTTTTTGGCACTTCAGTATGTGTAAGCAGGTAAATATGGAGCACATGATAAGCCAAATTGAGAAGCGTAATTCATTCTTCAAGCGGTGAGGTGGAACTGTACCCACCAAGAATTAAGCTTAGTGGCAGCACTAGCAAGAAGCTTGCCGTAATCAGCTTTAGTGGCCCATTGAAGACAAAGCTGGATGCCCAGATACTGCAATTCCTCAACTTTATGAAAATTCAACAATTTAGGAAGCTTTCTTTTCTTCCACATGGGAATGGCTTTATTGAATAAAATCATAGAGTTTGTGTTTGTTAATCCGTTGTCCCGTCCACTCACAATAATTTGAGTTGGTCTCCATAATAACTTTAGCCTACGTAGTCGAAGCTTCGGCAAAAAGGAGCACATCGTCAGCATAGAGGAGATGGGAAAGCCAGGGGCCTGATCTTCTAACTTGAATCCCAATATTTCCTGCTTGTTGGATCAGACCTGGAGAAAGAAGTTCAGAACATAGGATAAACAAATATGGCGATAGCGGGCAAACTTGTTGAAAACCACACTCCGCTTGTATCCAAGGCGGCCACTGCTTATTGATAAGGAGAACAAATTGAGGCCTACATGTTCATTGTAAAACCCAATTGGTGAAAGTAATATGAAATCTCATTCTCTTCAACACCTCCCATAGGGAAACCCAACTCATCCGGTCATAGGCCTGTTACAAATCAATTTTGAGCGCCATAAGTCCCAAAGTGGCCTTAGAGTTTTGAATTTGTTTATCACCTCTTGCGCAAGAAGAGAACGATTCGATATAGAGCGGCCCGGAACAAAGGCAACTTGTTCCTACGAAATAATAGCAGGAAGCACGCATTATGGCAGTCACTATAGTCCTATGAGAGGCAACACAATCCCAGAAAGAGCACTAATCCCATTACAATCTAATAGGAGCCGAAGATGATTTTTCATTGAACTTAGGGCACAAAATATTTTATTGCACAAAAAACAAACAACAAACAACTCAACACGAATGCATAAGGAAAAACACATACAATTTGAGAGGTATACTCCCAAATCTTATAATTCAAGAGGTAGAAAATCTCTCCTAAACCCTAACCCAAAGATTCCAAATCCAAATATCATACATAACCCTAACCATAAACTATTATGTCCTATTTATATTAAACCAAAATAAAGGTAAATGACTAAATTTCCCTTAGGCTATTAAAGACTAAATAGCCTTTAGACACCGTCATAATAATACTCTCCTCCCAAAAAGACAACTTGAGGACATCTTGTCCCCAAGGTAGAAAAATTTCTTGTTTGATCAAGTCGTATGACTCTCACATGACGTCATTATCTGGCAATCATTTCCATTTAATCAAAAACTCGCAGTGCTTATTGTAGCCTTAAAATGTCATTTTGTGCACATCCTTCAGTTGCATCTAAATCTGATAGCACCCTGACTTCAAGTTAATCCGGGAGAAAATCGTCAGCCCAAACAACTCATCTAAGAGCTTATTGATCCCTATACACTCTGCCAACTCCATATCATGTCTCTTTCATGATATGCAACTTGATCACAAATCTCAGCTCTGCATCTTGAATCACCCTCATCATAGCCTTAAGCGTCACCAACATCTTGCACAAACTGGGATAACTGCAAAGCACCACCATCTTGTCTCCCATTTGAACACTCTACAATGTCCAAATCAATCCCTTACAAACTCCTCCGTTCCTCTCCGCCTGTCTCGTTACCATCATTACTTTCAAATCTTCCTCCAGCTAAAAGGCTTCTGCAACAAAAGGCATTGGTTCCGTTGGATGCAGCCCTCCGCCAGGGCCCCACCCACCATGGTTCCTAGTCCCATGTTGAAATTCTTCGAAGCGATCTTCTCCAACCCAGAATTACACGCAATTTTGATTTGCCTACCGCCGCTTGTCCCAAACTTAATGTGTCGTGCAATTCACTCCAGATGTTGTCAATCGAATATGTTCTAGATTCCTTCGTTAGATACTGCAACTCTCAATCCACCTAAAGCAACAACCCAACACCAATATCACATGAATTCTTTTGGTTGCTGCCGCTCGTGTCTATTACCGAGACTGCCGCTCAATCTTGTGGTGGCAGGGACAATTTTGTGTGACTCTCCACAATCTTCTTCATTATTTCTTCCAGGGTTGTGTATCTTTGCTTCAACCACTCCTCCATGAACAAGAGACACACTTATGTGTCTCATCTCTTTCTCTAGTTTTCCTTCAAAATCCACTTTCTTGACCGCCATTATAACCATAACATCTCAATTATGAAATAGGAACTATTATATGTTGAAATCTCGTCGATGGCTTCCCATGGAGTCTGAGTCGTGTATGTGCCACGAGATCGTAAGTCAGTGATCTGTCCCCGGCTTCCAAGATCGTCCAAACCGTTACAGTATCACCACTAGAGCAAGACTGATGTAGAGCTTGCTTCTCAGTTCTCGCCTAGATCCCTACGTGTTCTTCCTCAACTGGCTCTAATCGGGACCGTGTCGCAAGGACAAAGTGGAAATATGAAAAAGATGAGAGTTATGGAGCTTTTATAGGTCGCAATTCTGTCGGAGCCTTCCCAACTAGCTTTGATTGCGATTATACGCCAAGACGGAGTGGAAAGAAGAGAAAGATGAAGTTTTGGCCTATGTAAGTCGCAATCCCGTCCTCAACACGCTCAAATCACGACTACATAGGTGGGGCACCCTACGCCGAGATCCGACTATTGTTTCCTTGCGAGCTCTAATCACAACTGCATCACAATTTTCGGCATCCTACACGATTTTTGGCGTCCTACGGAGCTCTAATTGAAACTTTACCGCACACCACAATCCCATCATCATTTTTGTGCTAGTGACGTGATCATGTCATCCTTCCCTGCTAGACCGGTCGATCTTGTGTGAGTTGGATTTCCCTTATTTTTCCCATATTGATGTCCTGATACCATTTGAGAGGAACCAGAGACAATATTTCATCGAACTTAAGGCACAAAATATTTTATGAATAACAAACAACTTAACACGAATGTATAAAAACAAGTATCTACAATTTGAAAGTTAAACTCTCCCAATCCTACAATTCGAGAGGTATAAAATCTCTCCCAAAACCTAACTCTAAAATTCAAAGCCTCAATCTAATACATAACCCTAACCCTAAAACTCTTATGCCCTATATATACTAAACAATAATAAATGACTAAATTGCCCATAGACTAGTGGACTAAATGACCCTTAGGCTTTGTCATAACACAATCATGTAAAGATAAGTTAGATTTAGCAATCATAGGAAAGAAACCTCATGCACCTAATGCAAAGCATACATTGCCAAATTTAACGTTAATAATATGTAGCACAATGGGTTTTAACAACACAACAATATACAAAATCACCGTCAAAATTCTACAATTATATTATAAAAAATTACAATAATTCTTAGGCAAAAATTTAGAAGCTAAGAAGGTGATTACACATAAAAAAAAAATCATCTCAATTATCATAAACTTATAAAGAACATGAAGAAACATCTATTTTGATAAAGTTAAAATTAAAATATATATATATTAAAATTAATGTGAACCCGTGAAAGGCATATTGACACAAAAAAAGTCAAAATGAGCATACATTTTAACATTATCTGATTTCAAACACATATAATTACAAAATAAATTAAAATCAAGATGCCAAATATATCTCGTTATTTCGATAAGTATGACAAAATCATAGTGTGTTTTCTAGATTAATGATTTCCAACTATACTATAATGGCAAACTAATCAGCTCTGGTTTACAAACTAGCAAATGGAGTGCGGGAGTAAAAGACAGATTAGCATAGTAGGGTTGCTCATGCAGAAGGCAATCTTCTTACCCATGCTGCTTCTGTTAAGTTTAAGCCAAGCTCTTCACTGCATTATAAAGAAAATTGCAAAAAATGAGAAACAATTTGACTATTCATGATGAGATAAAAGAAATCTAACAATAAATGCGGCCAAAAAATAATGGCATTCGAGTTGTAGAATGATGAAACATTAAAGCATGCGGCCAAAAAGTAATGCCATGAATGATGATACCATTAAAGCATCTGAGATAATATCAACCAGACAAATTATAGCTCTTGATATTCTTTACAAAAATTAGTCCTTAGAAGTTTCACATTTTTTGTCACATTAAATCATAGTTCCTTCAAAGTTTGCCTGGCAGCGTATAAAGGTTTGGTTTCCAATAGATCTAATCATGATCCTCAACAGTAGAGCAAGGATACTAAAAGAAGTATATGGAAGACTAGGAATGTTACCTATAGCATACAGTGAACAGCTGGATGCAGCAAAGTAAGAGAGAATTGGAAATCCATTGACTAGAATTATCATTAAAAGAATGCTCATTTTTCCAAAATTGTCCATATTTAACAATGAATATGCATTATACACAATCAAAAAAGGAAGGAAAAAAAAACAAAGTTGATTGTTGAGATAAAGTTAAAAACAGCAATTTTTCATGTCAATGCAAGAAATTGGGTACAGTTAAAAATTGTTCGAACATATTTGCTTCTACAGTTAGATGAATCTTGACCACATCACACCAAATTACTTTTAGAATCTTTGTTTCCAGCCAAAATTTTTCTACAGAGTACAAACCATAGATAGAAACGATTCTGCTAAAATTAGAATACTAAGGTGATGTTTGGCTTCAATCCGACTTTGCGTTAAATAGGGTTTATCAAATTCAGTAAATCCAATAGTATGTGCGGTGGAGAAGAGAGCACAAGCGACGGCAAGAAGAAATTCTTAAATCTATCTCATAATTAAATTTACTATATCCAGATTTACATCCTAAGAGAGATGAGACGCAAAAAAAATTCAATTTAACGGAGCATTGAATTTAATTTTAAATTTTTTTATGTATGTTTGGATTTACGCTAAATCCATGACTAAATCCTATGTAAATTATGTTATCAAACACCACCTAAAATGGAGTGAAAGGAGAGGGATGATGATGGAGGGAGAAAATTTTGCAGCATACATCATGCACTACAAAGAAGTGGTAGAACTAATGCAATATGCCCTTTGCCATTCAATTGAGGGTGATTATAACGGATAAAATATTATTAATGTATTAAAAATTTACTTTTTTTACTAATTATCATTTTTGTTACTATCTCTTATTTTCATGCTGTATATCTAATAATAACCTTAACGTAATTTGGACTTTTAGTTATCAAACAATTTCTAATAATAGCTCCTAATTTATTAATTATTAATGTTATAATGAGTTGAATGAAAAATTATTGTAGCACTTATTTTAGCTTCCTAACTTTCTTACCAATGAGAACTAACCATCGGCTGCATCAGAATCTCTTGTTGTGGTGTTTATTTAAATCTCCTATGTTTTCTATAATTCAACTGTGTATATTACATCAAAATGGTATCAAAACAACCATTCAACTATTTTGCTCTCATTTTCATCAATTTATTGTCGTTTTTGCACTTTAAATGGCAATTTCCGATAATCTTACTCTGATTACAAAATTTTACTATTGCTTTCTTTCCCCATCCATACGAAGTTCTCTCCCATCAACTAAAAATCAGCAAATTCCAAAAATTTTATCTCCACCAGCCCTTCTATTTTTACCAGTTTTTTCTCTCCATTGCCCATTGACCACATTTCCCGGCCTGGGCTTGGAATTAATCAAAACGGGAGCAGACGACTGAATAGTGGAAATAAAATCTCTGTTAATCTATTTTCATCACTAACAATTTAATATTAAAAAAATTATAAAAGAGACACTAAAAAAAATTAAATTAACAAGTAGAAGTTTTTACATTTCTCGTTGTTATTATCATCTCCTATACATAATTGCACATCTTCTATTAATCTTGTTCATAAGCTTACAACTAAAAAAAATATTTAAACAACATAATAAGTTATCTAAAAATAACCCAGTAGTAAATACATTTCTAAACAACAATAATAACCCAAGAAAAAGAAATTAATATGCATGTCGGTCTTCCATATATTTATAGGAAATCATGGAATGTATTAATTTTTTATATTTCTACAAGAAATCTTTGAATATACTAATGCATGTATCAATGACCTTTACTCAATGAAAATACTTAAGTTTTTAAATGTATTTAATTTAATTTTACTTTATTTTATATTTTTTACATATACTTATGTATATTTGAGGATCACCGTCAAAACAACCTAACACACCCCCTCACCGATATTATCTCGTCGGCGCAACACTTAGCGATCTAAGCATCACAATTTTCTAAGGTAAATGACTCTTACCTACCTCTAATCGATATTCTCTCGCCGACACAGAGGTTAACGTTCTAAACGTCACATTTGTTTGGGAAGGTTAGCTCTGTCTACTCGTCCCAGGCTAATATTCTCTTGTCGGTATAACGGTTAGTGATTTAAATATCATAATTATCAGAGGTGGTAAAAAACCTATGAGTGCAGACACACGGGAGTCTCCTGCCTAAAGCAATAAGGGGTGAACTCCTCTTAACATACACATACAAGCATTTATATATAAACTATTTCATTCAAAACATATATTTCTCTGAGACAACTTCGTTGTTCTACTAACATGCATACTTATTCTACAGTGCAAGAATATCATGCATAGCTCATATCATTCATATTTGTTATCTCATGAATATTTCTCATATCATGTTTATCATACATATCATGTCTATCATACATATCATGCATCTCATGCATATCTTATTTATATTTTCTGTCATGTATATTTTTTCTATTTAACAATATGAAGAATCAGTTGTAATATAAGTTTAACTGAACTAAAACATATACATAATCAACATATATTTTAAAATAGAGAAGATTACAGTAATTTAAAATATAATTACTCACCTCAGTTGTCATAATATATTCTTAATGTTCAAAAATAAACTGGAAGTTGCGATAACCTTTATGTTAATATTAATAATCTATAGAGCAAAAGTTAAAGTTTAAGATTAATTTTCATAAGTAAACATATGCTTATTTTACCTAAAATTGACAGAGCCGCCGAACGACTAGTTTCTACACACTCTCCTTGAGCTCGTATCCTCCAGTAAACAATCTAAAATTTGTAAATATCTTAGAATTTCATAATATCTTGACTCATAAAATAATTTAACCCAAAACATAATTGATTAGCCTAAACATACTTTAAACAACTTTCACGGCAATTTGCCATTCTCCGAAATTGTTAAATCTTCTTCCCTCTTATTCCTATCACCTCATTTCTTCTTTGAATTCTCGCTAAAGACCCTTACAAAAAGTTCACAAACCAAATCCGTCGCTTTTGACACGACCTTGGCACCACTACAACAACCGAAAATGAAAAAATGAATGATTCATGACAAACTGTTGACCTCATTTTTAGTGAGGTCTAGTCTTTCTCTTAGGATTTAGGATCTAGCTTTAGGGATCTCCCTTCGACTATCTTAGAACCTTAGAAATGGGACCCGCCTCATTTTAGTTCGACCTACTTCTGTCCTCTCTTGTGGTTTCGCGCGTGTGGTGTCAACTTCTAGCACCTAGAAGAGTGAAACCGGCATGAGAAAACCCAAAAGGAATTCTTACAGACTTATAGGACTCCAAGCCTTAGGAAACATCGTCATGACCTTTTCGTCACACACACACACCAAGTGCACAAAATTCACTGAGTTGCACGAAATCGGACTTCAATTAAGCCTAGAGGAGGGGTCAAAATGCGAACTTTTCCGGAGGACCTCCGATGACAAATTGGGTCACGTCAACGCGTCCGGGATACATATTTTCGACACGAGAAAATTGACACGCAAATCGATGAATTCATCCGAGCGACCCCGGATGACAAAACAGACTGCACCGTCACGTCCAAAACGTCGATTTTGCCTAGGGAGGACACCCATTTTGCTTGGGCACCACGCACAAATAAATCGCATGAAATTTGATAAATATAAATGCATTTGTATATTTATAAATA